AATTTAGCTAATGTTGACTCAATATTCATCGTATATGTATAATTATAGGTGTGAATTTTTCCAAAAAAACCACTGTTTGAGAACGATGAAAGATATTTATTTAATTTTTAAATCGGTGCTACGTTACGTTTCGACCAATAAGTTGGTCTTCTTCAGGCACGTCTAAAAAGGTTTTATACGTTCAATACAAATAATTAAGAAAAAATTACATATTGAATATTTACCGTCTTAGGATGTAGCAAATGGAGGATTTGATCTATCTAAGACCAACTTATTGGTCGAAACGTAACGTAGCACCGATTTAAAAATTAAATAAATATCTTTCATCGTTCTCAAACAGTGTTTTTTTTTGGAAAAATTCACACCTATAATTATACATATACGATGAATATAGAGTCAACATTAGCTAAATTAAAAAAAATGTTGGATATGTCTTTGGATACCATAGTCATGGGTGATTTTAATATTGAAGTAATAATGACTTTCTGCAATTAAATAATGTAATGAATATCATTATCAAAACAGTTAGAATAAAAAACATTAAACCCGAAGTTAGCAACAATGAAGATAGCAATTTAATTTTTAAATATTAATACCAACCTTAATTTTTAATTTTTTTTATTATATTTTTATTTTTGTGACAAAACAATTTATTAAAAATTAAGAATATGTCAAAATGACATTGACATTTCAAATCGGAAGTTGCTTATATCTCAACTAATATTGGAATTAAACGTATCATGTTTGGGCTCATTTTAAATGATTTTTCACGATGATTACAAATATGTCAAAATTGACTTTGACATTTCTAACCGGAAGTTGACCACAACTTCATTAATATTGAAGATAAATATATCGTGTTTGTACTTATTTTAAAGGATTTTTAATGAAGATTACAAATATGCCAAAATTGACATTTTAAATCTGAAGTTAGTTATCATATAATTATCAACCTGATAGAAAAGGAGCATCTGTTCAGCCTGCTAGGGTCACTGCTCTTAAAAGAGTGAAGAGACAGTTGGTTCAAGAAGCTGTTGCCTCTACTTCAACTTCCACGCAATCTTTAGAACAGGACATCTCAAGTTTTAAATCCAGTATGATAACATTGATAACTAATTTCCAATATATTTTTAAAAAACTATGCAGTGTACTCATAACAATATTTATACTTACTTATTTGTTTTAACATCACGAATTTCTCCAAGGGAGAAACTTTCACAGTTTTAAAAAAAATTTGCTATCATAAACATATCAACAAAGGGTAGAAGGATATTCCTTGCAATATCCTTCTTCAGTCATAGTAGGTATGGTATTTATACAAATTACCAAAATAAAATAGGATGTATGTAAAAGTAAAAACTTTTTTGAGAAATATTAAAATGTTTTAATTCTATTCAAGTAGACATGTTTCGAAAACTAATATTTCATCTTCAGTACCTAAATTTACGAAAAAAGAAACAAATTAAACAAAGGTTAACCGGAACGTATTAATAACGGTAAAGTGAAAATCGGACATTTGAAAAGGTGAACTTACATAGAAAAATTATACAATATAATGGAATTAGTTAATAGGTGGGGTTCAGCAAGCAATAAAAATTTCAAATATATGAGGCACGATTAACTACAAAATCAAAAAAATACTGACAAAAACGTGATAAACAAAGCTATTAATGTGTTATTTATAACCTAACTTTTTTCATGGGCGTTGTTCACAGATTATACTCTTTTACGTCACGACCAATAGCAGCGTTTACTGATTAATTCCACAATTTAAAATTATACCCTGTTATTAAACAAACCATACGTGAAGATTTATAATATGATACGATTTCTTATTTAATAAAATTAGATTTAAATTTAAACTTGTTTACATCAATTATGTCAAAAGTGTTAAATTGGGTTGCCACACAAATAAATCAAAAATATCCACGTAATCTTTATTATTTATTTCTTAAGTAATTCGAAATTAAACAAAATAAATGATAGTAATAAAATAATTATCACATAATTTAGTTTTTGAAATAATTAATGTTAAAAAAAAAATTAACCTAAAGAAATTAATAAATCAAAATTTTAGTGCTTTTCAATATTTAACGTTGGTGCTTCGATAATGCACTTTTTTAGTTCTTAAAACCGTCGTATGTCATACTTTTTACAAGTAAACGTACAAATATCTCAAAAAGCTTGTTATTTATTTTTTAGCATCTAAAATGAGCACTTCCAACGATAAATACATGTTAAACTGGGATAACCATCTAAATCATATGAGACTGTCATTTGATGTTGTAAGAAAAAGCGGCGACTTTGTTGATGTAACGATATGTTGCGATGGGAAGAAGTTAAAAGCCCATAAGATTGTTTTATCGGCATTCAGCTCGTATTTTCACGATATTTTGATTGATAATCCATGTCCTCATCCGGTTATAATCCTCCGAGATGTTGGTTATGAGGAGATGGTGGGAATTTTGGAGTTTATGTATCTTGGAGAGGTTAGAGTTGCAACAGAAAACTTTAGTTCGTTTTTGCGAGTTGCGGAACTTTTAAAAGTAAGTGGATTAGCTGATGATGTTCCCGAAGAGAAGAAAGATAGTTTAAATGAACCTCTATTAACCGAGGAAAAGGTGGAAACACCCAAGCCGGGAATGAAAAGGAATCGTGGATCTATCGAGAAAGAAAAGAAACAAGGAGTGGATGTTGATAAAGAAGATAAAGGACCGAATAAGAAGAGAAGAGATACTTCTAGCCCATTTCCATCAGGTCAAGGCGATTATGGTAACGAGAATGTTGCAGAAAATATAAAAGAGACTGAGACTACCAAAGGAGAAATACCTCATAATAACTCGAATGTACAGAAATTATTAAGCAGTGAAAATTATTTAATAAAGGAATTAAATCCTGAAAACGAATGTCCTATATGCGCCCAAAAGTTTCCCACTATGTATTTATTGAAACAACACATACCTTTTCATTTGGGAGAGACAAAATGTCAATATTGCAATACCGTAGTGAGTAGAAAAGATCTTTTGAGGAAACACTTGTTGGCTGTACACAAAATACACACTCCAAGGAAGGATTAGAATTAAATTTTAATATTTCGACACCACATATTTGTGTATTTTTTATGTTGATTATACATTTCTGTAATGATAAATTTGAAATAAATCTATAAGATTAAAAATTAATTAAGGGTATTACTTTTAACCCATTTAGTTCCACTGATGTGAAAATGCACCAGCTTTTTTAAAGTTATTTTATAGCCATATATTACCAGATTTCAAGGTACTAGCTGTTTGTATGATAACACTATAAGGTTGTTAGGCTATACATATCAAAATATTTCATAATTCTTGCTATATAAACCATATTTGCATCAATTCTTTTCTATTGAACATTTCTGTTCAAAATATACAATAGAAATAAAACTATTTTTAGTGCATAAAATTCTTTAAAATTTTGACATTTGCAAGTTTTTAGTGCATATTTTCCTCATATATATCTTGAAATGCAAAATGAATTCTGAAAATACGTTTTGAAACATTAATGGTGCAAAAATATTGATTGACGAGATATAAGGATTTGTTAGTATAATGTTGTATTAGTATTATTATTTATTTACGACTAATTTATTACTTAGTTAATAAATGATAATCAAAATTTTTGGTGACTTGTTCATTTATCTTACCAGTGGTGCATTTTACACCATCTCATATCTCAAAAACAATTTTTTTTTCAAACAACTGTGTACATTTTTATATTTTTCATTCCATCTTATCTTAAGGAAAATTATAAAGAATCGATTTTTTTTTAATATAAAGCATCGTTGGACTAAATGGGTTAATTCAAATAAGAAATCAAACAAAAATCGATTATTTTTATTACCATTCATCAATAACAACTTTATACAAACCTTGGGGACAAAAAAAAACTATTTAAACATATAACAATTAATATTCACATCGTTTTAAGTAATTTTTGGCTTAAATAACAAAGACTAGAATTAAAAAAAAACAATATCTGTTCCAAAAAAAAAAGATTAAATATCTCTAGGTGGATTAAAATACTCCCAATGATGCATATGGACGGTTGTTCCTCCACCACCAGAACCCAAAAGAATCAATCCAGCGATCAAAACTAATAATATAACGACCGTTACATGTAAATCTTGTCTACCATCGCTATTTCTAAGCACATTCGCTGTAATGTGCTTTATAAGTCTCTTAAATGCTTTGTCGCCAGCCACCAAACATGCCCCTGTTAATTGAGCAGCCAATTGAGGTATCGAAGGTTCCGATGGAGTTCGATGTCTCCGACCTCTCGAAGGTGGAGCTACATCTTCAGAACTCGATTCAGAATGTTGTTGTTGATGCCTCGATTGTTGTTTCGGTGGTCGTTTTCTTCTAGGTGGCGAAGGAATGTCTNTTTTTTTCAATTCCGGTTTCGCCGGAAGTGACACTAAGTTTAGATTTTTAAATGGAACACTCTGTATACTATTACATTTTTGAAATTTGAATAATTTTCTGAATCCAATGGTACCACATAAGTGACATTTTAAACGTCAATATTTTTTAGAATTTAATGTTTAATTTTCCATTTAAGTGTGCCATTCCGTCATTTTGATGAACTTTATTTGCACATAAATCACGTAATTTGGTATTTTTGGCGGAATTTAGATTTTTCTAGCATTAGACGAGTTAATTAGAATAAAACGGAACTCTCCTGGCACACTTAAATGAAAAATTAAACATTAAATTCTAAAAAATATTGACGTTTGAAATGTCACTTATAAAATGTAATAATATACAGGTGTTCCATTTAAAAATCTAAAGTTAGTGTCACTTCCGGCGAAATCAGAATTGAAAAAAAAATTTATTGTATGTCAAAAAGTGTCTCTTATCATGTGTATAGGATGGCCCAAATTTGAATCAATTATCTTCAAAACTAAAGGACATACGGGGGGTGTACCATGATCCTGTTACACCCGGTATATCTTGAAACGCAAAATAAAAATATGAATTCTGAAAATACGTCTTGAAACATTAATGGTGAAAAAACACACCATTGGGATGATTGATGAGATATAAGGATTACATTATCTTTCGTATTATCAGAAACCAGTTTAGACGCATTTATTCGATGAATTTCCTAGAAATAGTCGTTTATGGACATATGTGTCAATATACCGGGTGTCCCTCAAAAGTGGCTCACCCCCATATTTTTTTTAATTATTAGTGATATAAGAAAACCATTTGGAATGCATAATTAGGCCGCTAAAACGGATTATTACGACATGAAATCATTCTTTTTGTACTTCCGGTTATACCGGATGTGAGTACTAATTTCGCTATTTTTTTAAATCTATAATTTTTTTTTCTTCAGTTGGGTAAACAGTATAATTTCACATAACTTTTACTTGAAAAAATTTTCACGATCGCTTATAATTTTTGAAAAAAAAAATTATTTTCGTTATTTTTTAACGTTTTAGTACCTTCGGAAAATGTATTACAATTTTTGACACATAGTAGCTAGGTTAATAGTACAAATTACGTTATGTCCCTCTTGATTTGTTATTCCTCGAGCAGTGATCACTGCTATGCTTTAGTTAGTGGTTCTTTTTTAATAATGGTGTAAATTAACAGTTGTATTAAATTAGTTAAAAAAAAACGCTATCCAACAATTAAATTTAATTCAATTGTAAGTTCAAAAAAACTAATTTTCTAAATTTTCAAAATGCTCCCGCCTCGATTTTGACAT